AAAAAAAAAAAAAAAGGTATTATGAAGCGAACCACGAGGGTACTTGCTCTTCAAGCCTAAAACATGCCCTGCGAGTAACACATAAAGCTACAATAAATAATTCACTATGTTTTGTCTGGAGCTTTTCACTGTTTCATAGATAGTCTTAATATCAAGCATTAAAATTTACTTCCCTATTTTTTTTTACCCTCATTTAGTAACAATTAAAATATAAGTTAAAGGAGAGATGTCATAAGAATAAGTTTGAAACAAAATGATAATTAATTATTTTAGAAGAAAGGGAGTAGATATAAAAAAAAAAGTGTTTGAACATCATTTGAAAGGGCTAATTTATCTGCATGATTATTGAAGGTAAATGGTACCCAATATTTTGAAGAGCAATACACAAGTAATTGGAAATCTGATGCTGTACTTAGGGCTTAAGCAAAAGACAAAGGAAAGGAAGCAGAATGAATTAGAGATGGATTGCTTTAGGGGAAGATTAAGGATGGAATAGGTACATAAATTGGCCTTAAAGGAACGAACACATAGATGCATGGAAAAAAGGGATTCTAAAGAATGCAAAATACAAGCCAAATGAAAGCTTCTCCCAAAAAAGAAAAAAGGTTTAAAAAAAAATTGAAGCTTTGTGTGAGGAAAAGATAAATAAATAAGAGACAAAAAGAAAAAAAAAAAGAGGAAATGAACCTTTAAGATTTTATGCGGAAGGAGTTGAAATTGCTTAATCTCGGAACACCACAAAAAGAAAGATTTGCCAATGTTATTAGTACCATTTTTCTTGTTTCATTTTAACGATGATTTGATTCCTCAGATATTTTTGTTGGCAGTGACTAATTTATTTCCCCTTAGTAGTGAATGGAGATCATCAGGACGCCTTGATTCGATTGTTCCTCACTCAGATGACTGGCTTTCTGCAGGCGGTGTTGTTTTACTAGTTCCTTGCTGTTGCCAAATCGTTTTTGTTTTTTTGGTTTTTTTTTCTTTTTCTTTTTTTCATCAAGTACAAATTGGCCTTCCAGGGCTCAGCACATAAGGCTGGGAGCACAACTTTTTACAAATGTTTGTAGCCAATTGACCTTCTAGGTCAGGTGGTTACTGTTGTCAGATTGTGGAAAGAGAGAAAGTGATAGTTATTTATTTATTTATTTTCGTGTGTAATTTCTACAGCAGTTTGAAACTAATATCAGCTGTAATTTTATTTGTAACGAAAATACTATAATTATAATATTAAGTGACATTGTAAAATTTTTTTTTTTTTAAATGAACATAACGTTATAAGTTTACAATATGATGTATAGTAATATAATTAGTTCTTTTTTTTTAAAAGTTTACTTATGATATTATATACATCTACTCGTTTAATATTATATCATGTTTCATTTAATGACACATATGTAGCATTATAACTATAATATTACTATATTTACAATTTTATGTTTTGATTGGGTTGATGGAGCTAGACAATTGGGTGTTTTCCCCACTCATTGTCTTATTATTATTATTACTATTTTTATATCAAATAGATATTTTATTATGAGAAATGGAAACTCAAGAAGTCTTGGTATTAAAAATGTTAAGATATGCAATAATAATCATACGAGAAATTTGATAAAGATATCATCCATACTATATTTCAGATATTTAATGACTGTATTTAAATGTCTTAATAATTTTAATAATAGGATGTCTTAATTTTCTCTTTTCTCATTAAAATAATGAAATTGAGACTACATATGAATCTCAAAATCTCTAACATTTATAGCCAAGGTAAAAATGTATCCTATAGCACTAAATACATATGAAAACTATATCTAAGATGGATATAAACAATTAAATATAGAGTCATTTGTAATTAGAGATTATGTTAATAATTGCTAGAAGCATATATAAATAAAGTTACAAAAGTAAAAAAAAAGTCGCTATTAGCATCTTAAATTATTAGACATTCTTAACTATTATATCAACTTTCAAGGCAAAGCAGATAATCTAACAAATAATTGTCTCTACTCATCAAATGTCGTACTGAAGAGGAGATGCATTAATAGTTGGAGTCACTACTATGAATCATTGAAGCCATGCTTAAATTAATCCAGGAGAGAGTCCTAGTCTTCGCTTGGCCATGCCACTAAAGTCGAAGTAAGTACCACAATCAATGTGAGAGCCTAACTAGTTCCATTACCAAGTTGATGTCATCCGCTTCAAGTCAAGGCAGAACTTGATGACAAGTATCGTAAAAGTTCAAACAAAGACCCCAAAAGACAGACAAATAAACCTACAAAAGAGAGAGAAAAACTCCTACATTTGTTCCTTTTTCCCAACCATCGAGGGGAAGAGAGGCTACAACTAAGGAGCAAAAGAAGCAAGAGGGGAAGAAGAGAATTTGGAGGAGAGAGAAGCTAGGTGGTTGAGGTTTTTTTACAGTTGTTGTTTTAATTTTAAGAGCTTGTATTTGCCCAACTAGTTTTCCTTTTTTTTTTTTAATGATATAGCTATAACTCTGCTTGACTCGTCAAAGTATTTTGAAGCAAAATTTTCACACATCAAAGTTAATCTTTCCTTAGAAACATAATAATTTAAACCAACTTAGAGATTAAAATATGTTTTTTTTTTTAATATAGAGAAATGAGGATAATTTGACTATTATTGCACCAGATGGAGTTCTGGCAAATGCTAGGAATTTAGTGTACTTGAATCATGACGGTAATTAAAATATTTATTTATTTTTTTAACTTATATCTCTAAAATTTTATTTTTTATATTTTTTACTATTATTTTATATGTAAAATTATAAAAAAAATATTTTTAATATCAATTTCATATAAATAATTTAATTATATAATTAATAAAATTAAAATTTTATTTTATTTTTTTATATAAATTAATATTAAAAGGACAATAAATATACTTTAAAAACACATAATAAAAAATTTCTTCAAATATTACGACCGTCTCTACCAACCACACGTGACATTAGAATAATGCTTGAGGGACCGACAGGTCCCTATGGAGACCGAACGGACGTGGCATCTCCACGTCCGATAGTTCACTGTTTCCATTTGATTAAATTTATAGACTTAGTCCTTACAAACTTAACATTTTAAATTTATTTTCATCCTTCAACTTTTTAAATTATTTTTTTAACCGCAAACTTTATTTTAAATATTTTAGGTTGGTAATTTAATATTCTTAGAATTTAGAGTTTAATTAGTCTTTAAAATTTAAGATTTAGTATTTAAGAGTTAGGTATATTTTTAGAGTTTAAGATTTAAGACTTATATTATTACAGTTTTTGAGATTTAGTGTTTAGAGTTTAATATTTAAAGTTTAAGTTAGAGTTTAGGGTGTAGGATTTACCATTTAAATTTTAGGGTTTAATTTTATTGAAATTTAAAATTTAGGGTTTAAGATTTATATTTTAGATTTTAGGATCTAAGATTTAATGATAGGTTTAAAAGTTTTAAATTTAAAATTTAATGATTTGGAAATGATGTTATTATTTAAATTAAAAATAAAAAATAAATTTCATAGGACCTAAAGTTGTAAATAAAAAATTACTAAAACTAAAATTTAAAAGTGAAAAAACTATAGGACCATAGGTCCCAATTTGGCTTGGGACCTCTCGGTCCCTACAGCATTATTTGTGATATTATAAACTTAAAATTATAATATATCATTATTTATTTAATTTTTTTTATTTAAAGATAAATTTATAATTATTTATTCATTTATTTATACTTTATAATTATAAATTTATAATTTTATATAATATTATAACTATAATATTTTTCTTTTTTACTTTTCTTTATTTTTTAGTGGTAACTAAATCGGGGATGGAATTTGTCCCCTGTTTCTAACTAGAGTTGTTGCTACACAAGGAAATGTTATATCCACACAAATCATGATAACTGAGTTTTTTTCTGTTTAAACGATTAAATTTTCATTATTTAAATAATATATATTAATTATTTTATCATATATTAAACTACATTTATTTATTAATAAAAAGTAAATTTCTATAAAAAATAATAATAATAATAAAAGAGTCCATTTTTGTGTGGAATAACATTGTTTTACTTTTGGCAAACTGGTTATAATCATGCCCCCATTACAATTTGACTCTTTATCCTGAGCCTGGAAATGCGTGCTCGTACCTCAAAGTCTCAAACTGTGGGTTACAAATTCAGGACTCAAGTTCAATAGATTAAGTCGAGCCACCGTCCACTTTTTCTTATTTTCAGCAAAGATGACAGTCTGCTCTACCTTTTTCCCTCAAATTCCTGCCTCTTTCATAGCAAAGACCCGTTTCTTCTTTTCCCACAAAATCACTGCTTTCTCTTCTCAGGCTTCCAATGCTTCAGCCAAAGGTACTTGCTTTCTTCTTCTGTCTCCTCAAATTTGCTGGGTTTCTATGCAATAAGTTAATGTGTTAAAATTTGTTTGATTTCATGCATGATTTCGTGATTATTGCTAGTGTTGAGGATTGTGTCCTTTGTTTTAACAGCAATTCTTTTTTTTTTTTTTTCTTGTTCATGAGCTAAATTGTTTTTCTTCAAAACAAAAAAAGAGAAGAAATGGGTTGAAAAGTTGATATGATAGGTGAATGTGGAATTGCCACAAGAGAGAAATAGAGTAACATTGTTAGATTCCTCAATGCTTGACCACTTTTAGAATTGCTTTCTATGATTGGTTGGCTGGTTTTTGTAAGGTTCTGGAGAATTTACCTTGTAATGCATCTATCCAATTTTGATTTGTAAAGTATTCTTTATTAACCTGTATTGTGCTTGACGACCTTTTTGTGACAGTACCAAATTCTAATATTTGTTGTGGATACAAAAATGGGAAATAATTCTAGTTTTTTTCTTTAAAATGAAAATTTTTTTTTCTTGTCCTTAGATCTATTTTACTTCTCACTAAGTGTCATCCATCTCAAACAAGAGCTATTTTGAATGCAGCTGATGAATTGTCAGGCGGATTGGCATTCTTGGACCTGGAGTCATGGGTTCACCAATGGCACAAAATCTCATAAAAGCTGGGTATGACTTGGTTTCTCTGACTAATCACTACTAAGAGAATTACCAAACTGATGGTAAAAATTGTGTGATTGGAAGTGTTGTTGAGTGGCACTTCTTTAAAAACCTTGCGTTTTAGGGTCATGTTTTCTCTGTGTCTTTTTGTGTCTACCTCCATATCTTAAGCTCCAAGAGAATTCCCAGTGTCTGGCCAAAAAAAGCACCAAAGAGATTAGACCTCAATGCTCTATTTATTTGATACAGCAGATATGCTTATAACTTAACCTTCTAGTTGGTATGTTGCAGATCTGATGTGACTGTATGGAATAGGACCAAGAGCAAATGCGATTCTCTCATCAATTTGGGTGCAAAGTGAGTTATTATTACTTGTCTCTCATCTGATTAGCTATAGTCTCTGTTGATTGTTATTTACACGTTTGTTGATGACCAAAATTTGAAATGAAGGTATTCTCCCATTTTCTAATGCAGATATAAACCCTCTCCTGAGGAAGTTGCTTCATCCTGTGATGTCACGTTTGCCATGCTTGCTGATCCTGAAAGTGCAGTGCGTATGTTTCATTTTAAGTATTTTTTATTGCCTTCTCTGGTTGGACTGTTACTAAGATATTGCTGATTTGTTGATGCTTTTTCAGATTGATGTTGCTTGCGGGAAGCATGGAGCTGCAAGTGGGATGAGCCCAGGAAAAGGGTATAGGATTCCTCATCTTTTCTTGTGATAAAGGTCTTTTATATTCTGAGTATGATACCTACTTGGTATCAGCTTCATTCTAGAAGCTTTTTGAGAAACCCTATTGTGTGCTTGGTTTTTGCAACTCAAATCTATTGCCTAGTGATTGTGCACTGCAATTGACAGTTATGTGGATGTTTCAACAGTTGATGGTTCCACGTTTAGATTGATCAATGGACATAAATATGCAACTGGGACATTATTTCTAGAGGTAAAAGTTACAACTGACAAATTGGTTTTATCTTATAAAGATTTGCATTCAATTAAAGCATGTACAAGTTGACATATCACATTTGCTCCAGCAACTCTGCAATATCAAAATTTCCATTGAGCTTTATTTCTTTTGCAGGCTCCAGTTACAGGCTCCGAAAAGTCTGCAAAGATGGGCAGCTGATGTTTCTTACTGCAGGTAAGTCATTGTTGTCATTTAGAATTTTCATTTTTCGCTCCATGGTGGGTGTCACTATTAACTGCCCTTAAAAAAGGAAAAGTTGATACTGAATGCTGTTGAACTTTTTTCATGATGTTCCTTATTTGAGTAGTGAACAACTTGTACTTCAAATCTTTCTTCCACTATTGTTCATCTACCATTTGATATCTGTGTCACATGATACAGTGAAAGCACCTTACTGAAACTGAGGTAATCCCTTTATCTTTCAGGTGACAAATCTCTATATGATACAGTTTCTCCACTCTTCGACATCATGGGTAAGGTATTTTGGCTTATTAGATGTATACATCCACAATCTTAGTCATCTGATTGCATTGCCATTTATTTCATAAATTTATTTCATTCACGATAGAGAATTAACGATTCAAATTAACCATGACTTTTACAACTTACATCAATACTTGAGCATGCGAAAGAGAACTATCTAAAGAATATATTCAACAGATTATATGTTAATAGTATTAGCTCCTCTTTCCATTGTAAATATATTTCAATATTTTTTTCTAATGTTACCTGTAATTCTTTAGTCTTAAAATCAAATGGCCAACTGTTTTGGAGAAGGAAATGAAGCTCAAAAATAGAGCTCAGCTCATCTGATGTAGAGATTGTTGTTTTAGGAAAAAAAAATGTTAATGATGGGAAACAAATCAAATGTATTAAAGTATGGAGTCACAACAAATGTAGTGCCCACTGCAAAGATGCTGGGTTATCGGATTTGATGAAGGCACTTGGAAATGTGGGGTTAGGATATCTGTATACACAAGATGGCTAATGTAGTAGCAATGGTGGTGAAGAGGATGCGGCAAAATGGCTTTTGTCCAAAGAACATTCTGGATAATGTACAAGCTGAAGTAGAGCTTTTTAGGATGCAACTCTGACGCTCTACCTGTCTTTCCATTTGGAGTTGTCTACATACATAACAATTAAACTACATAAAATAATAAGAGAATGTTATAGTGCAGTCTGCCACTACTTTTAACTATTAATAAAAGGGTTGGCTCCCAATATCAAGGGGTCCTGCCTCTCTATCAATGGTTATAAAAAATATAGTCTGCAAGGGTGAATTGCACTTCAGTTTTCTAAAATAATAATGGAAGATATTAAGAAAAAAGTTCATCCAAAGAACAATACCTGCTTGGATAACTTGTTAAATATAAAACCCAAATACAGGACACACCTACACTTTGAAGTTGTTCTTGCACTCGTACAATCTTATTATAAATTTTTTCATATGTAACTGAACTGATTGCCCCCATATTTGCCTCCTAATACAATTACATAATCATTTAAAATATAATAAAACTAACGTTGAAAACAGTAGCTTATTGTATCCCTGGCAAATTAAGATTTTACGCCAGGTAATAAGGCAACTGAGAAAGTTCTTCCCAGTTCCAGCCAAGAAGGGCACTGTCAAAATGAACTAACCGGTGGGAATAGTCCGTCACTATCTTGATTCGTTTAGTCAAGCCAAGATGTGCCATGAGAAGGGCTACGTGAGTGAGCAACTCCCCACCTTGCCTGAGCTGTGTTGCATGCTCTCTCCATTTACATTTGCCCGCAGTAAATGCCAGCATTTCCATCCACACATCAGCTATCAGTTTCCATTTGTCATTGTGATCCCACTGCCCAAACTCATGCAATCCGCGCAACAATTGACACCCTTCAGCTATCACTGATTTGGACTTATTAGGACTTTGAGGAATCACCATGGCTAATTCAAAGTCGAGGCCAGACATAACATTAACAACTTCACTCCTGCTTAATGACTCGTTTATAAAAAGACCATTTACCTCTTTTCGAGTTTCTTGGATCCTCAATTCGCCAATCCCTTCAGGAAGCATATTTGGGCGCACCAAGAGGAGGTACATCATATAATCAGATAAGAGCTTGCTAATTTGGCAATGTGAACCAAACTCTGAATGTCTTCCTTGATCATGGTAAAAAAGAAGATTTGTGGCTATGTGCCATATAAGGAGGCAGTGGTTAAATTCTACTCCATTGATGCTCCAATCGAATTCCTCCAAAAGTTCATTTTCTCTAAGCACTCCATCTCCCTTCTTGCTCAATAAATCTAGGAGCACTTCATATCGAAACCCACTTGATCTATACTTGTGTTGTTTCTCTAAAAGATGAAGGTGGATGAAGTTCCTGACATCATGATTCACTTCCTTCCAAGAAGTCAACACAAGCTTCCCTAAAATGTCTTCAGTGTCAATAAATCTCACAATCGATGTCAATCTGTTTTTCTTGCTCTGGAGACAATAGCCGATCAAGCTGTGTTGCGCCATGTAGAGTGTTCGTTTCTTATCCTTCCTATGCACCAACCAGGAAATAATATCCTGGACAACAAACTTAGACACAAACTTAGACATCCTACTTCTGGGAATGGTTAACCATAGGATTGTCCAGCTCGAGAGGGCTTTTGAAATGGCTGAGTACATATTGAAAAAGATTGCTCCACCCAACAACATGTAGGTTATGGCTATGTCAACTTTCGGGTAGCCACTCTTACCAACTTCGATCGAGAAGGCAATTAGTGCCATAAAAGTGGACAATAAGCAGATGCTATTAAGTATTATACCCACTATAGATTGTTGCCATGAAGTTTTCTTAGTGTAGAGCACATCATACAGGAACCCTAGTTCAACCTCTACTAATCTGAAGGCATCTTCTGCAGACTTTTCGAACAGTATGAAGATGTCCGTCATATCTGGGGGAATCTTGAGGTTGAGATCTGAAAAGAGTGGTGTGAACGTCTTAAACATGCAAAATGCTCTGTAGATGTATCTGCCTTCTTTAATAACATTTTTGCTCTCTAAATACTTATCCAATAGTGGTGGCACTTTAGTAGTTGAGTGATCTACTGTTAAAGCTGATGCTTGACGTGCGCTGGAAGCTGGTGCTTGATCTACAGTGGAAAAAATGGAATTTCTAAATTGCCTTCTGGTTGCAGCCCTGAGAATCCAAATCCTTTCTCCATACTTGATAATTCCAGCAATGAATATAGGAATGGCCATATAAGTGAGAGTGGAATTTGTTCGAAACCTTGTGTAAACAAAAGCAGCCACTCCAACCTGGATAATGAGGCCAAGTAAATGCCGCAACCAAAGCTCGTTGTCCTGTAAGGAGTAGGCACTGATGGTATCTGGGCCACCGAGGTGCAAGAGCAGGAATGGCGTCCAAAACACAACCAGTTCACTATTCAGCTCTTTCCTTTCCGACCTGAGGAGTGTGCTTAAGACAACTGTGGCTACCCAATCAGCCAATAGGTATGTCGACCAAACAAGGATGGCAACATAAGAAGACCACTTGCCTTGGTATTTCCTACGATTTCCAAACAGAACAAGAACAAACTGGAGAAGAAGGCTTGATAAGACCATTACTGGGAGCTCCCATTTGTTCCAGAGTTCTTCCATTTTACTGGAGAACACTTTTCTAAAGATTCTATCTTCGATTTCTGTGTAGAAGAAGGCACTGGCAACTGGAAATTGATATAGAAAATTTTCTGATATTATATATGTAGTAAAAACTGGAATTATAGAACGCATATAAGTAAGGATGGATCAGTAAAATCCCATTCAACAGGCTCATGCAAACAAGGAAAAAATGAATCCATCTGATATTTCTAAAATTAACTGTAGTATAATTGGGCCACAACACGACGAACCAAAACAAAAATGTACTTCAACGTGAGATTATATGATGATCATTTTTTTTTTTGGTTTCCCGCCCAGTATCCGGGGCTTTGCCCCGACTACTCCGGACTCGACCAATTGTTACGCACTAAAATGATGAGTGGGTCTCTCAACGAAAGCTGCTGTGTACACAAGATTTTGAACTCGAGAACTTACTTAAGCTGGAACAAGCTGCTTGCCACTTGATCCAACCCCTCGTTAGTAGATTATATGATGATCATAAAGATTCCACTCTTGATCAATGTGACAAAGAAGCACTAACAACTGGAAATAGAAAACATGTTCTGATATATACATGCACATACCTGGTTAAAACTGGAAATATAGAAATAGGGAGAATGGATGGGATTAATAATTTCTCATTCACAAGGCTGCAGATATGATTATACCCTAAAATCAAACACGTAATGTGCCAGTGTATTTTGTGAATCA